ATCATCATCATCATCATCATCATCATCATCATCATCATCATCATCATGAGCAGCAGCACATTCATTCACAATAACAAAAAATGTTAATACATGAATGTGTTCAATATTTTTTTGCTGTACATTGTGTGCTTTTCTATTGACCAAAACCCCAAAGGGGGACACCTCCCCTTCCAAAAGCACGTCTCTATTGAAGATTATTGAAGTTCCGTTCCGCAACTCGCTTGATGAGGAAGGTATCCGCTGGGGTTTTCCATCGGATTCCGAACGCTGAAAAGCAGCGGATCCGAGTGTTTTATTCGGCGCATTCACCATTCCGCTGCCGGTGCGGGCATGAAGCTGCTTCATGTGATAGAATCTCCTTGCAAAGGGGAACATCAAGGAACCAACACCCATTCTTTTTCCGGAGCGACATCTGTGGAAAGTGTGCACCTCTTGCCCAGAACTGAACTGTACATCGTTTTGCCTTTTTGTTGAGTCTTTGACTGCAAGCCAAGTCACACAGACCGACGTTTCGGCTCCTCAGCCTTCCGGAGAGCCCTGAGGAGCGTGCCATACCCTCTGCACCTGGTCCCGTGGGAAAGCAATCCATCGACGTGAAGGCCAGGGTTTTGATGGACAGTGCATGGACAGTGCTTCGTCGGCTGTCACGATGGGTTGTCTCCAAATAAGTGAGCCGACTTCACGAGGTTTCTGGATGTATTTCCCAGACCATCCATGGGACTGGCATATATGATATATGCCCACAGTGAAGACTACTGAACTACTTCAATGTAGGTAAATAGGTCATACATGGAGTGTGTGGGTGGGTGGGAAGTGCAGGAGGTAGTATGTCCGTTGCGGATGTAACGGGATGTAAAGAAGTTATCCAGTGATCAAGTGAAGCAACTAGGGCTTTCCACTATACCGGTTACTGCCAGAGTTTTGTGGCAGTTGATGGAAAGTCATGGCATCCCAAGAACTGCAGTTGTTCACCTTCTAAACAGGAAAGTAGTGATGGAAATGAAACCTACCGAGGTTGGTGTCTTCGTTTTGACCCTGCACCACCTTTGGCCGAGAGACATTTGCAAACAATTACTTTACTTCGAGTGATCCCCACCGTGACACTTCAATCTGACAAATTGTCTGGCATGGATTGAAACATTATTTCGGCATTCTTTCTGGCATATCTCCTGACATTTTTGTTTGGCATATCTTCTGACAGTCTTTCTGGCATATTTTCTGTCATTCTTTCATCTGACCTTCTTTATGGCATTATTTCCGGCAGATCTTCTGACATTTTTCTGGCATCTCTTCTGACATGCTTTCTGGCATATCTTCTGAATTGTCTATCTGGCATATCTTCTGACATTCTTTCTGGCATCCCTTCTGACATTCATTCGGGCGTTCTATCTGGCATATCTTCTGACATTCTATTTGGCATCTCTTCTGACATTGCTTCTTGCGGTATTCGCGGTTGAGGTGCGGCGGGGAATGCTGCCAAGCGGAACTCGCGGTTGAGGTCCGGCGAAGGACACCGCCAGCCGGCGCTCGTGGTTGAGGCCCGGCCGGGCACACTGGCATCCGGAGCTGGCAGTGGAGGAACACTGCCATCCGGAGCTGGCGGTTGAGGTCAAGCGGGGAACACTGCCATCCTGCACTTGCGGTTGAGCTCCGGAGGTATAAAATCTAACAACGCTCACCTGACAGGTGGGAAATTTTTTTGAACAAATCTTGCACCGTGCTCAGTTTTGCGTGAGCGTCCAGTTTTCCAACTATGACCAACTGCTTTTAAGCTAAAGCTTAAACAGAGAAGCAACATGTTCTCTTTGTTGGGAGCACACACTGAACTGCTGCATCTCTGCATCTGAGACCTACCATAACCCCATTGGACTTGCACCTTCGTGTTTTTTGGTACGAAACGAGTACAGTGAGGTCGCAAAGATTCGCAAAGTAGACTGACTAGACATCAGTTGGCGCTCAGTAATTTGGATCCGTTTGACTGCCCTTAGGCTTAGGCTGGCTTAGGTGTACATTACACCGCAGCCTAAGGATGGTCAAAACAGCCGTGAGATTAAAAATTAAAACAAACTCTTAGACCCTTCGTCATCTTGGTTCCTTTTTCTCGCTGTTGGGGTGAGGACCATTTTTTTGCAACAAAAGGATAGGCTGTCAGCCAACGATCCTTTCGGACAGGCTGTCGGTCTGATCCCTTTGGATCCGATCGGTAGGACATGGTAGGACCTTGTTCGTCGGAGCATCCGATCGGTGAGCATCCAATAGGCGGACTCGACTCCGTGCAGACGGACGTTCAGCCGTTTCGATGGAGACGGATGACTGTTGCTGCAATGGGGGTTCCAATCCCCTAATAGCCTAAGGGTCCAGGACCATCCGTTTCTGGGATGTCCTGCTGTCGGCCCCATGGAAAGATCATTCTTTGGAAACACGAACTCACTTCCAAGACCATCCGAAAAGGAGGTATGGACCCTATGGGAATGACAGTATAGTTTGTGGTTTTCAGATGTTTTACCATCTACTATGAATTCCTCCAAAAGCACTGCGTCTACACAATTTGGGGGTCCTGCTTTTAGCTCTCTTGGGTTCATTGAAATTGCCTGAACCATCGGAACCGGTGGTCCTTTTTGTTCCACGTAGTGACCATGACCATCAACTGATCCTCCTTATTTGAGAGACCTTGAGGCATTCTCATGGAACGAAGGCACCCAACCTGGGCCCCTGGGGGTCTCGACCGGTCGGTGGTCGGGTGGGTCGTGTTCCACGTATTGAGTCCATCAGACTTGCCACCAGCGAAAATGAACAGAGTACCAGGGAGGTCAACCTACTGGGGTGACCAGGGATCCAGGGTTTGACTCACGGTCATTTGATGTCATTTGTATCCTGAGAATCTGAGAACAAACTAGACTCAAATCCATTTCTGAGACGCCGCGATCGCGGCACCAGTCGCACCGTGCTCCACCTCATCAGGTCACGACCAGCGCGTTACGGCAGGTTTGCAAGGAGATGGGTTTTCAGGCCGAGATTAGGGCGCAAGCCGTTCGTCATCGTTTAAGCCTTAAGCAATGAAGCTGGAAGAAAACATAAAGAGGGGACATTTTTGGTGATGGGCATCGTGTGGTACATGTGCACCAGCGGGTCATAGTCGCAAAACAAAATACACAGATAGCGATGGCCTCCAACCTAATAGCGATGTCCTCCAACCTAAGAGCGATGGTCTCCACCCTAATAGCGATGGCTTTCAACCCAAGAGCGATGGCCGTAACAGATATAAAGTGTTAAGTACAAAATAGCTAAGGGCATCGGGCGAAACACCAATGGACACGTTCGAGTGGCCTGAGCTTCGTGGTGTTTCACCGTGTTTTTTGCCTGGCTAATTGGACCGTTAGAGACAGAAAGGCAGAAAGGCAATTGGAAAGTCTTTGAAACGGTGGGAGTATATACCATACCTTCCCAAGGATTCAATTGGAAGTACTTGAAGACGTTCCAAATCTGACCCAGAACCAATAGTGGTTTATATAGTATTAGTCATAGTATGTAGTTTGGGCATGTCTATCACCAACCAGTGTATAACCCAAACCCATTACTACGGCCTTGGTTGATGAATAGAGGGGATCTCCGTCGTGTACAAGCAAGTATACCTGGCATTAATCAGAGGCAAACGGAAGGGTAGTGCACAGAAAGGGTTTTGCAAAAACCTGTTCTACTAACATCGTGGAAGGCGCGGGACATTCGTAGAACCCAAGGCTATTCGTGGACAGTTCGTGGAATGGTGGGCCAGTAGGAGAACTGACTGCAACGAAATCCCAGAAACCTTCGCAGAACTTTGTCGGAGGTATTTTTGATGCACTAACTTCGTATAAGCGATTTTTGCTGACACCCTTTCTCCACACACCCTCCATTTAGCCTTCAATTAACCCCCGTGTTATGCCCTATTTCTAGCGGACCTCATTGCTAGCGCATGTTCCAAGCCCCATGTGCTTCACCGGCAGAGAGAGAGAGAGAGATAGATGCGTCAGGTGGCAGAAGCCATGGTCACGACGAGATTATCCTTGTGAGCCCGTTGAAGCTCGTCCACATCCACCGGGCCTGAAGGTGTCGGGTGTCGGTTCAGTTGGGTAACTTCGTTTAGGGCCATGGGGCTGGAATATGTGCCACCCCATGGAACTCGACTTCGAGTACCCCAATGTGTATATATATATATATATGTATATGTATAGATATGCCATACATTACGGGATTCTAGTACACCCAGTGAAAAGTGCCAGATTTTTGGTTCGATGTGGTTCATATCGGTTCAAAAGTCGTCCAGCTAGAACAGCAGCGCACAAACCATGTACGACTGTCAAAGGAAGAAATGCTGCACCGCTGCGTGCAGAGGACTTCAGGCCACGACTTGAGGCTTGTCCGATTGGTGTGTATCATGTCAGGTGAGACTTGTTGACCATTGGTCCAACCCGTGGGTCTGTCGGGTTCGGGTTCGGGTTCGGGTTCGGGTTCGCCTGACGGCAACCCTGTCCAATCTCAGTGCGAACACCAAGACGCTCCACGGAAGGGGTCGTCCCCACGGTACAGGGCGTAACAGAACCAACATGGGGGTACTTGTAGCACGCGGGATGTGGACAGCGTGATGTTTTGAAGCGCGTCGCAAGTGACGGCGTCCCCCTTAACAGCCTCAAAGTGGTGCCTTTAGCCGTGTTTCTTTAAATTAAAGCTGATGCACCAGCACCACCCAAAGGATATCAAAGAATGGTTATTGGATGGTCAAGTAATGTAAAGTACATCACAAGGGTCCATAAACCAAATGTGCCAACGATTTTTTGCAGGGTGCACCCAGACGGCTCGAACCTCCTGAGTTCTGGCCTACTTGAACCGATCGGAGCTCCGGGGTGAGTTCCTGTTTTGGTCATTGATATTCATACAACCCGCTCAAAAAGCAAGTCCATGTTATAACATGCGTAGAATCTCATGCTATATCAGTCAACATTAGGGCCTTTTTTGCGGAGTGTCGCTTACAGTTTACACCCAATGCCAGCGCCTCGGTCGCCGCACCACGAATCGGCCACCGACCAGGGCCACGTTCTGACCAACGTCCTTCCGCATGGGTCGACCCCGGCATGCGGAAGCTTTCTTTGCGAATCATGTTGTCCGGGGGAGGGAAGATCGTCCTTTTCGGTGGGGGGGATGAAAACCATGGAACATCCGTGAAAACACACAAAAGGCCACCGGCCGGTGGACTGGGAGCCTACGAGAGCAACCAGATTTGGGTTCGGCTGCTGCGCCAAACTGGCGATAGAGTGGCCAGCGGCTGGACCTATAATCTTCCCTCGCTTGCACAAAGACCATGATGCCTGGTGGCATCCCAGCGAAGCATGGCTTGAGTGACTGGTGCCTCACCAACTATGCTTTAGGGGGAGCTTTCTTTTTGGTTGAGCTTTCTTTGACACGCTGGATTGGTGTCATCCACAGAGATCCATAGCTTCAGGAGCAAAATTGGAGAGGCACCTGGGCGTGCCCACATGTAACTCGAACCAGGGTGTTTTGGGCTCTGTGGATGTTCTTCCAGGTCGATGTTCCGAGGAGCGGCGCACGAGGTAGTCGAGGTCCAATGCCGGATATGCGAGTGGGAAATGCGATTGATGCATAATATAGAATTGAGAAATACTGACATGCTAATAGTATTCTAATAGTATATATATATATATAGGTACTTTGGATCAGCATGTGAGCCATTGTGAGCCTATGATGACATGTGTACTGTGTGAAACAATTTTAGAAACACTGAATATCGATGCATCTCATGGTGGGCCCCTGTCACAGTTTGAGCCATGCCAATGTTTTTTCTGTCCAATGCGAGGCGTGATCTGGGGCTGGCATCGACTTGCAGGAAACTGCAAAAGAACAGTAACAAGTTGTTTACCCACTGAAATCCAGGTGGAACACAGATGAAAAAGGTTACACTCCCTGAAACAATCATGGAAGTGAACAACCCCCTCAGTCCGCTTTTGGTACGATTTCTCTGACAGCGATCCGCCATGGCCCGCCACGGTCATGGTACTTTGTTGATTTTTGTGGTGTTTATTTAGATAGGGAGACCCACAACAAACGAAATTAAGTCTATTTCCCGAACCCTCCAGGGGGTCGAACCTGAAGGTCTCCCATGTCTTGAGCTACACACCCACTTCTTGGTGGTGGTGGACTTCTATCAGCACAGCTCTGGGCGTTTCGGTTCAGCTCTTGTCACCCTTTTGAAGAAACGGTGCACTGGCCGCTTCCAGTGGGCAACGGGACCTACAGGACCTACTGGAACTGGTAAAGCTTTTGGGTTGCTTTGAAGCGTTGAGAAAGCAGGACGATACTTTGGACCTCAATTCAGCGAAAACACTCTAACAGCTCACAGGGACCTGAAAATGGTCCTTCTGTCTAAGAGGTTTGGAATTAGCACACTCGTGAATCGATTCATTGACATGATTGACTTTGCCTATAATCACCCAGATCTTCATGGCTGCAATCTTGACAAGCCAGCTGCTGAAACTGCAGTGTACTGAATGTGTTCATGCTACCCTCGTACAGTTGGAGGTTCGTGGGCCGTAAGGGCTCGCAGGCATTGGGATCTATGTATAGTTATATGAGTCAGAGATAAAAACATCATCATGTATAGTTTTAACCAGGGTTTTGCACGCGGTGACAGTGTTCTTTTTTGTGTGTGTTCCTCGAAAAACGATAGGGGACGTCCTAAAACCGATACCTCTAAGATTTGCATTGTAGCCAGTGAGATGGGAAGATCCTTAGAGAGTTGGAGGCCATGGCTATTAGGCTATTCGGTTCGAGGCCATCGCTACTAGGTTGGAGGCCATTGCTGGTAGGTTCCTTAAAGTCTTTTTTGTAAGTAAGGGTATGTTTGTATGATGTTTTTGGGGTTCTTTGTACCACATTTGGTTAATCTTGTCCTGCAAGGGCACGACTCAGGGTAAGTCCCTGACCTCTCCAAGAGAGTGGAGCTTGGTGTTTGTGGGCTGGATTCCTGCAACACTCGATCTTGATTTGAGCCCTGCCCGTGTGTCCTTCAAACAAAGGAGGTAGTCAACCCAATCCAAGACACCCCCCAAAAGGAGCTCTCATAGAGGTTTTGCAAACAGAAGACAACGGTTTGAAACGGATAGTTATTTGATTGAAATGGCGAAGATCTGAAGAAAATCCGATGACTCATCCAAAAAGCATCATCTATATATATACCTGCTAAGTCGAGAACCTACCTTTTTCCAGTTCAAGATCGTAAAGCCTGGTTTTTCTCCATGATGGCAAAAAAAACCTGGTTTTTTCAAAAAAACCTGGTTTTTTCTGGATGTGAGATTTGAAGGTCTGGATATCCAGGCCTAAGAGGCAAAAGAGTGGAATCATTGGTGGTATTCCACTTGCAGGCAGCCTTTGAAGGCTCCGGGCTCATGTCGAAGGATGTCAAAGGCATGATCGCAACATCATGACACCATAGGTCACGAATAAGTTGATCCAAAAACACTTCAGTGAACAATGCTTACCACCTGATGCAATGTGATGGCCAACCGGTCCAGCCCCCAAGCCAGGCGCTCAGGTCTTTTTGCCAAGAGAGCCAGTGATCAGCGATCGCATCAAGTCCTGCGCAGCAGAGACAGTGTTTGGGCTGAAAGGATTTTGGCTCGAGCTGCAAAGATCAGGAGTTTGACCTCTTGCCATTCAAGGGGCCCAACATGGAGGTGCTTGGATTGAGCATCGAGTGGGAGGGATGTGCGGTGACCCGTGCTCGCATTCGTGAGCAAGGTTGCTTGCTTGTGAAGGATCCTAACAAAACATGGGTTGAACCAACCAGGGACAATGCTTGCGCCAATGAGGCTGTTTTGATCCCATGCCTACGTCGCATGCATGCTTCGCCCAACCAGACTCTTCCTTGCCTTCCAGCTTTACAAGTGGAAATTGGGAAGTTCTTTTCGATTTGTGGTGTGGAGCCACAAGAGAGGCAGATTTGGCGCCACGGTTGTGAGATCAAGAAGCTTCTGGGGCTTGTGAAGCGCAAAGTGAACCGGAAAGAATACACAAAGGATATATTTGCAAAAATGGTTTCAACATATCGATCGATGTTTTTTTGTAAACATGCACGCTTGTTTTGTTTCTTGACCTCGCTAGACTGTTTTGAACATCTTCCCTGTGAAGGACGCTCGCTTTCACCCGTTGCTGTTGGCGTTGGACCCGTCGTTGGAGGCAAGCTGTGTGGGGGAAACAAAAGAAAACCATATAATGTTTCAAGATCATATGGACCCCCTTGGACCTCTATATGGATCATATATCAACTATAGACCCTGGCTAGGAGGACATCAAAGAGCACATGAAAACCGTCAGTTCGAAGGAGCTGAACAAGCTGCGCTCCATGGACTCTGATGTGCCTGACGATGATTCGGGTGACGACGAAGACACCAAGATTGATTTTGACGAGTTCAAGCAATGGCTCGATGGCAAAACTGCCGCTCCTTGTCCATCACCTGAATCAAAGCCGTCCTCATTGTCGAAGCCTGACACGGCTGCAGCGAGTTGCTCCACAAAAGACAGTGGGGACCAGGTGAAGCAGCCACCAAGTTCTTCAAGTGCTGTGGAGACAACTGGCACCGGAGTTGCAGCTATGTCTGGCCACTTGCAACATCAATGATACAAACCTTTTGGGGGGGCTGGTGCTCTTGGGGTGGCAGCCATTTTGTGAGGTCTACATAGTAGAACCATCTAGAACCTGCCCAGTCAAGGTGAAGCCACTGCCATCGCAGAGCTCAAAAGACGCATTGCCGAGAAGAAACGTCTTCTTCTGCAGCATCACCAGCTCGAGATGCAGCTGCTGATCCTTGGCTTTTCACGGTGGTTTTATGAGTTTCGAAAAAAGGGCTTTCCAAAGCACGCCTCTAAGAACATAGGGCCACTTAAAAATATATAGACTTCCTGCGGTTAAGTGTGAGCAACCTCAGGCAAGTGAAGAACCAGGCCTTGATGAAACCTCTTCCACCGGCTCTTCCGCCTGCAGGACCCTTTTGTAAATAAACAAATTGTTGATAGATGTTGATAGTAAGAGTGCATGTATTGGTCATGCACGGACATTCGAATGTATGCCCTCGCGGTGATTTCCTATTAACCCTCACTGCTTCGGTTTCTCACATGCTCGCAGGACCCGTGAAGGATACGGATGAGACACTGCCCATGGACTTGGAAACTGTGGAGTCTCAGCCGGATGATTTCTATGACCACATCCATGGCAGGAGGGCAGCCAACATCCCGCCTGTTCCAAAGTTTGAGGAACCCTCTTTGTTGGCTGGCCAGCGTCCTGGGGGCAATGAGGGCGAGACCAAGCTTGAGAAGCACGCATCGCAGACAAGCCGCGCCAGCGCCGGCGATTCCAAGCAGCAGGAGCCAGTTCAGGTGTGGTTGGGACAACTTTTTGGATGGGGATTGGTCCGTCTTTTTTTTGATGACCTCTGGGCTTTGGTTGACACAAACAACAACCAACTTAAGGCTGCGCATGTTGTTGTAGGCTCGATCGGTCTCGCTTCACTTGCAGGTGCTTACCCGCAAAGACCAATTGGAGCTGAAGAAGCGTCCTTCTCCGGAGGATAGCCAGTGCCAGGAAGAACTCAATGAGCTGGCTGCGCAGGAGAAACCCAAGAGGAAGAGGGGGAATGCAAAGGCAAAGGCGAAGGCCAAGGTGCTGTCACCCAAGGTGAAGCTGTCGCCATTGGCTCGATCGACAAAGCTGAAGATGCAGGACACTCGCTACTATGAACCTCGTGGGCGTGGCCGCGGATGTCATGCCAGCCAAGGCAGTGATCTCATGGAGGTCTCAAGCCCAGAGGTGGAGCATGATGACCCTGTCCGGAGAGAGCTTTTCCATGCTGAGGATGACAACCAGGCCATGGCTTCCAGTGTTCTCAACCCTCCTCACCACATCCTTGATGAGCTTGCGGAGAAGGTCAAGGCCAAGGAGGCCAAAGCCAAGCCTCGTGCGAAGGCAAAGGCCACAGCATCTGCGGCCTCTGATGCCCCGCCGCGGAAGAGAGCCCGCACTCCTGCTGCAAAACCAAAGGCGAAGGCACAGGCGAAGGTGAAGGCAGCAGCGAAGTCTCAGGCCAGGAGGGCCAGCTCAAGACCACGGAGGGTGGATGATGCAGCCACTCAGGACCGCCTGAGGGACGATGGCATTTTGCAAGACTTTTTGGAGAAGCTGAAGTCGGAAGCTGCTCACCCTTCAGTGCAGTTGGAGGAGCTGAAGTTGCTGGTAGCAACTGACCTTCAATGGTTCCCTCGAGCTCGAGTTATGCCCTACTGGACCAGGCCTGCTGCTGCCGTGAAGTGGGTGGGAGGCGATGAAGTGAAGCAGATCGCTTACTTCGCTGAGAGCGGCCAGAGCGAGAAGGGCCGGCAGCTCAACAGGCGTTTGGTTGTCCAGATCTACGCTGCCCGACTGTTTGTGGCTTTGCCTTTCTCAGTGTATATGTTTCTATGTTTTTAGGTTTGGTGGTCACAGGACTATAGGGTTGTTTCGTGGTGCTTGCAAGTAATGGCATCTCATTCAAAGGCGTGCTGGGTCAATACGAATGGCATTGAGGGCGCGAGTGGCGAGGACCCTTTGCAGCCGTTCCATGAAGTTTTGGCCAGGATTAAGTACAATGCCTCGCTGGCTTTGGACATGGCTGCCTAGATGGCTGACGGTGTTTTTGGCACGTTGTGTTCTATAAGGTTGCTGGCCCCCATGGTTAAGACTCATCACTTATAGTGTTCAAGTCGAAGCTGTATATGTTTCGGTTAGGCCGTCATGCCAAGCAAGCGTGTTGCCAGCTCATTGAGACCTTAAGTTTGGGGAATGGCGCATGGGGAATCCCTCATGCATGATAGAGGAGTTGGGGGGATGGAAAATGCGTTCTGCTCGCATGCTTGGTGCGTGAGGGTCAGTCGTCTCACTGAATTTGTGTGACATTTTTATTTTTGCATTCACTCACGCAGTCCATGGGGCTGCATCTGCTTCGCCAAGATGAAACCAGCCTCCCTAGGTCGATGCCGTCTTTGCGGGGATGCAAAGGGCTCATGAAAGCAGGCTTCATCAAGGACAATGGTGTGCCGGGCACGCTTGATTCTTAAGTTCTTTTGCACGCACGCTTATCACTGTTTTTTCCCACTACACTTTGCACTGCATATTCATGTGGCTCGGAAGCTGCGGTCCTACATGCCACAGGTCAAAAACTAAATCCATGCATTGTCAACATTCGGATCCGTGCGATTTCTCCCGTGACCTGTTGCCATGGGGTCATTCAAGCCTGAATCCACCCCAGCTCTTGTGTGGAAGCTGGAGAAACTTGGGGCCCCGAAAGCAACCCAGCCTACTTCAGTCCGAAATGGAGGGTGAAGGACCATGGGTGTTTGGGGCTGATGAAACATTGGCCGCTGAGGTATTTGTCTTCGCTGTTCTCATGGTGATTTGGTCTCAGCGAGGCCTTGAAGAGAAAGGCAAGTTGGGGAAGGACTATTCGTGCGCACATCAGGCACAGTAGGTTATGGCCCACAAAGTAAAACTCCGTTCAGCATTCCACTTGAACGATATGAGGAATGCATGCATGTCAGCCAACCCAGCTTCACCATCCCGAGCTGCCAACCCAGTTTCACCATCCCGAGCTGCTCGTATCTCCACAGTGAAGCTGCCAGGACATGACCCTGCAGTGGGTAGAATTCTTTGGAGGCCGTGCGGAAGCGACCCGTATGATGTGGTATGCGGGCTACTCCGTAGCAAAGCTAGACCTCAACTATGCGCATGATAAAGCTGATGCAGCTCAACGTGCCAAGAACTTTTCAACAAGGCATGCTAAGAAGTGTGTCATGGATCTTTGCTCTCCGGAGGGTCTAGCGTGGCTCGTATTATATCATGATGTTGTACGTTTGGAAGATTGTGGAACGTTATGAACAGTAAGTAAACCACTCTTCTCCTGACTGCCCAGGTTCGCCATCCTAGTTCTCTTGTATGGCGACAGCGATGAGGGGTTCTGGGCGCATTTTGGTATGAAGTGTTCATCATGGACCCCGGTAAACTGTGCTACATCTTCACGCACACCATGCTCGTCCATAGGCAACACCGACTTCCCAAGCGTTCGGCAAGGAAATCTACTTGCTTCACGGTGCCAGGGAACTTCAAAAATCAATGACTGGTTATTAATGTTATGATCCAACAAAGATATTTCAATTTTGGCACGGGGATGTCCAACAGATTGTTTGTCCTTTCAAACATGTCCCTGGAACAGTGGCAAGCTTTCCCTGCAGGGTGGTGCTGCTATGTATGCTGGTGGTTTGTCTCAACGGGACGTTCACGATAGAGCAGCCCAGGGAGTCATACTTTGAGTTTTTTTCCCAGGTGGAGGGACTTCTTAGAGAAACTCCGAGCGGCTCATGAACAAGTCGATGTTGTCGGGGATCCCAGCTCTTGAGCCCAGGCGCTCTGCGAGCCAGCTTGTTGTTGTCTTTGTGTCTGGAGAAGCCTTAGATTCACCACTTTTACCAGCTGGACTTAGACACGTCGTGTCGATATTTGCTGGCTTGCCATGTTGATGAAACCAACTCCCCTCTCCCGTCGGGCCCCCCTACAGGTTGACTTAGGAGCTTCCAAATAACTAAATGTCCATATCCTGAGATGTCGCGATGTTTTTCTTTTCAATTCCCTGTGCTGTTTTGTGCCAGTCCTTCCGCCAACCCTCTTTGCACGATAGGTGCCCCAAGGATCCTTACAGCACCTATTGCTTGGTCCCTTCCCAGGTCACCAAGTGCACTTGGTATATGTTGGCATATGGGGGGCCAACGCCAAAGCCCCACTACGCTCTGTCGAACAGCAAGCACACCTCGAAGCTTTGGACCGGGAAGCTGAAAGGATGGGCCAGGGCTGTCAGAGAGGACCCAGCCAAAAAGTCCAAGACTGTGATCAAATACCAAGACTCCAATGGCAAAAGCCGCTGGAAAGGTTCAGCCAAGCTTCGTGAGTCAGAGACCTGTGCTTAGCTTTTTAAAACTCTCCTCCTGAAAGAAGTCTCTCTACAATAACACTTGAACTGTTGAATACGAGTACAATGTTTGCAAGCTTCCCCACCTTCCCACACACGTCCCCAATGGTTGGTTTGGCTGCTGAGGGAATACCCACCACGATTTGGATTGGGGCTGGTGAGCATCTATCTGGACTTAGTCAATGAGAAGATTGGACCACCACCGCTTCCTTCCATCGTCCCTTCTGCCGAAGAGACTTTCCAGGCAATGGTCTTCGATGACCTTTGGGCCGAGGCAGATCTACAGGCAGTCTGCCACTATTTGAGGGGTGGGACCTGCCTTGCTGTGCCACCTTCTTTTAGGCCTTTGCTCCCCGCAAGGCTTTAAATGCCTTGAAAAGCAATCCCTGAGTGTCTACTAGTTGGAAAGGGTTGAAGATTGTATAGGACCTATGAGATCCAAGACAACTTTGATGGCTTTCAACCCGTATTTTCAATTATTTCCCGTAAAGCACCGTAAATTTCCCGTAAACCTACCCAAAAAACCCGTAAAAAAAAACACAGGTTTTTTGAACCCGTACTGAACCCGTACATAACCCATAAAATTCCGTACAAAACCCGTAAAATTTTATGGGTATTATGGCCGTACTAGGCCGTAATCGATGATAGGATTCCAGATGGTTCTTGTTGGTTTTCAACCTGTTTTTTAAAGATTCATCATGAAGGAACGGGGGATCTGCTGAAGATTTGGGAGCTCAGGGCGGAAATTAAATCACAATTCGGAGACATCTCATTGATTACAATGAGGACTTGGTGCGCAAAAGAGAAACAGTTGTAAGTTTCAACCACTGGACTATGCAAACATGGCTTTCGACATGTGTTTACAACACATTATATCGTTTTTTGTTCAACTTTGCAGCATTGGGCTTGGAAGGGATCGAAGAACAGGTATCCAATTACAGTTTCCGGCATGTCGATTGCTAAATCGGCGAGTGTTGCTACCCTTAAGAGCGCACGGTGGAGCACAAATGAGCTATCAGAGGGCCTTGCTCACCTTCTGGTGGATATGCAAGGGGAGTTGCCAGATGATTTGGCTTTGCTTTCTGAAACTTAGCGGCGTAAGGGGTGGGTGAATGAATACTCAGTGGGTTGCCTATATATGATCTATGCCTTGCTAATGTAAGGAGCTGGAAAGCCATTTAGCAGACCTTGAGGCGAAGCAATCTATCGCTTTGAACTTAGCTATATTGACATGACCGCAAGAAAACCAACTCACTTAGTGTGTTGGAATCACTCTTCCCGCGGGCGCCAACAAGGTCAAGGCAACCGCGGACCTTGAGGAAGCCGAGGTTCAGGAGATCCAGGACAAAATTGACTCCCGAATGCCAGAAAACATGGTCAAGTCTGTGGCTACTTTGCTATCATGGATCTACTTTTAGAGGTGTGGGAGATGTCCGGTATATGAACTAGATTGAATCGACGAGCACACCTAAGGCTACTCCGCAGCAGGCCGTGCATGCGCCTGTGATAGAAATTCCTGAATCACTTACTGATACCTTGCCTGATACGGTCTCCCAGTCACCCACAGCACCCGCAAGTCCTACCCCGACATGGGCCAGCGGTTCCGATGGATCTGGGACTGTGTTCTGGCTGCATGTGTTTTTTCCGGAAGCTTTAGTCGCAACATGACCATGTTGTAAGGGAGAGTGGGTGAGCTAAGTCGGCTATGGTGAACCAAGTGGTTGAGCTCTTCAAGTCTGGCCAACTCGATGCCATGACGGCGATGCAAATGTTGGGAGGCCTTCCGGGCCAGGGTTCAGGGCCTACTCAGCCTGCGTCTTCACCAGCCCCACCTTCTGATGGGGTAGGGTTGAAGCGGCCGGCGGAGGGTGAATCAGAGCAGCCCACCCATGTAGCGAAGACTGAAACAAAGTTGCACACAGTGAGTTGCAAACTGCAAATGCCCATCTATTGTCTCTTGGACTCATGCGCTCTAAGGATGAAGCACAGCACATGGCCAAGCTCAAAGCGCGTCTTCGCAGGTTGTGCGAAGAAAAGGCACACGGTCGTTTGCAGGTGCCAAAGTGGTTGCATGAGGCATGGATGACAGGGGACAAGGCCAAGCTTGCCAAACAGTTGGAATCATGTGACTTCAATAAGGACATGGTTGAGTGAAAGGTGGTGATGTCGGTTCGAATTGGGAAGTTCAAACCCAATCCCACACCTCCCAAAAAAGCATTCTTATACACTGTTGGTCCCATGTAACTATCCTGCATGGGTACGGGGTTGAGGTGGTCCTCAAGGTCGATTGCACCCTTCTTGTGTTTGGCAGGCCGACTCGTTTCTCAGCATGTCTGAAACGAAGGATCGTTTCTCTTTGACCCCCGTCTGAAATGCAGGACATGTTCATCCGGACCGTTGAGAAGACGCATGGTATCAAGGATTCCAAGAAATGTAAGATTGATGAGGGTTGGTATTCTCGTGATGAGATGCTGAAGGTTCTTCAGTGGCCACAGACTCTTGACCCACATCAGTTTCCATGCTTATGGCAACAAACGGAATCCCTACCAAGAGCGACTCCCATGCCCACAGCCGCCCCCAAAACGGAGCCCTCCCAAAAGCCCAGGAAGAAGGTGGACGGAGCCATCCGCGTTTGCCGTGCTGACCCTTCTTTGTGCCGGTTCTATGCTTGAACATGCGCTTAGTATTGAAGTGACTACATTGATAAGCGTTGCGCACGGCCACATGTCATCAACCCGCCTGCCATCCCAGGCAAAACAAATATGGAGGTGAAGAAGAGTTTTGGGTCAGTGTGCGTGAAACCGGAAGCCGTGAACAGGAAGAGTACGAGGAGAAGAAGAGGATCCACCAGGCTGAGGACTCTTCTTTTGAATATATCTTTGGCGACTGACTCCACCGTTTCCAACCTATCTATCTATATAATTTAAAAACCAAAACGTCCGTACAGCCCGGAATGACCTTTCTTCAGGACACGAACACTGCGGAGATCAATCCAGACCGGCGACACATCACTGAGTTTGACAATCGGCTGAATGCTTCTGTCGCTCCCCCAACCACAGACGCCGCGCAGGTAAGCCAAGTGACCTTCTTGTGAGCGTGCAGTTTCCATCCCAGCTTGGCCAGCTCCGCCCACCTCTGCCAGGGGAATCGTGGGAGGGAGACCTTCAAGAAGTTCAATGACTCTGTCCTTCAGAAAACTGCCAAGATCCGGCAGTTGGTCTCCGATCTCAAACGCAACTACGACGACCCATTGGCTGTCAAGCCATTTCCTCAAAACCTGAAACACCTTTTGAAAACCAATGATCTTATAGGAACCTGTCACAGTATTGATGGAACATCATCCAAACGTCAGCGGCCGAGCGGCCTGAGGTCGATCGCCACGTTGGAGAAAGACCTGGAAACCTTGGACGGTGTCTATGCGAAGTGCAGTCAGATGTGGGCAGAAGGGGAACAATCCGAGTGGACCCGAGAGCAGCTCGGCAGAATCCCACATTCTACGTACTAAGAGCTCTCAACAAAACCAATTGCTCTTCCAGCTGTCCCAGGTCTGTGACAAAAGCCGAGAAAACAATGAAGTCCTGTACTTTTGAGTCCCCTGGCTTGAAAAAAGGTGTGGTGAAGAAATCGACACAGCATCCAAACATTTTTCATGTTCAATGCTCCACCAGGTGCACGCAAGTGGCCCAGAATGAGGCCAAAGTCCGGTCAGGTACTCAGTCGATGCGCAACACCCTCCTGAGGCAATTGATCAGCCCTTTCCCCTTCCCACTCTGTACGCATTTCTGCCAATCTGCCAACTACATGGGTGAACTCAGGAGTGCCAAGCGCCACTTCACTAAAGTGAAGAAAGAGGGTGAGGACTAGGTGATTGCGATCCACCATCGGTGATCCGCTTTTGGCTGCTGTGTGATAACACAGCTTACAGAAATTTGATGGACTTCTATATCTAGGTGCTTGCAAGGTATGCATTCACAGCTTTGTACTGGGACACTCCACGGGGTTCTTTGCATGCGCCTGCACCCATGCAACTAAGAAATAGAACATGAACCAGGCTACAGTGGAGCAAAGATTTGGAGGACCCAGTACGTATGGATGCTACGTAGTGCAGCTCGCATTTGGGGTCATGGATGTGAAAAAATGAGTCTATGCCGCTGTACATAAGGTCTGTTCCGTTTGCTTTGACAGTAGCGCTCTTATTGGCACCCTCGCCAGGTCCTGGTCCCACTGCCAAAGCCTTTGCGGCCAATGTCGGAGAAGGAGCCGACTGCTCAGAATGGCGAGGCTGCCATGCATCCACTGATCAAGTGAGTAGAATGTTGCATGAGATTGAAACCATGTACCTAAACATCTAGGTGACATCTCAGAGGGAGGTGGTGATATATGTTTTGGTGGATTGGATTTGCATGTCGTCGCCGTCGCCCTTCATCCACTGTTTCAATTTCTCTTTGCTTTTTTTGCCGGCCAAGAAGGGACCAGGGTTGGGTACATAGCTGGCTAATGGACTTCCAGGGCAGTAGAGCTTACAGGTCCACTCACCCCACAGACTCAATGTATACAGCTACCCCCGTCAGGGCCACAGAAGTGTTTACCAGCAGGAGGCCTGCAGTCTAGCTTCTACAATCTAAACTCTGCGGTTAGTTGTTTGAGTGAAGAAACTGTTCCCAGTCACCTATGCATCCTTTGTGTCCCATTTTTTGTTCCAAATGTTTTCTTCCAGCAGAGCAACTTTAAAGAAAGACTCACATGCCAGGCCATCTTCAACTCTCAACAGTAGCATGGTTATTGCTCTTTGCTCCGTGTCGCCAAGGCAAGTTGCCGCTCACAGATCAGAACTGCCAGAGCAGTGGCAGAAGAGCTTGGACCAGCGAATTCAGTGTCTGGGGGAGTTGATGCATGGGCAAAGATTTGCTTGAACAATTCAGAAAGAGATTGCTCCAAGGTCGTGTTGAAGCAACAGGGTAGGCTGAATGTGCCAATTTCTTACTTGCAAATTCATGGCCGGGAGCTTCCCTGGATCTGCCCAAAAGATTGGGTCCAATACATCATCGATAGGGGTCTTTGGCACCACTTAGCTGGGCTGGATGATGCACACCGCCACCAAGCTGGAGAGGTTTGGCGATCTTTCTGGGACAAAATTGAGGCTATGCATCCTGAGCTGGAGGTCTTCAATGAAGAATTCAATTTAGACCGGGAGAACACAGCAGCGATCTACGTCCACGGAGATGAAGGCAGGTCCTTGAAAAAATCGGCTGTGATGGTGACATCTGTACAGTCGTGCTTAGGCATTGGTTTTAGCGACAAACTACGCGGCTGCAAGCGGACAGTTGATGGAACGCTCAAACACGAGATAAACTACAGAGGGCACACCTACACTACGCGGTTTGTCAGCTCCATCATCCCAAAGCGTATTTACGAGTCAGATCCCGAGTTCTATCACAAAGTGATGGAATCTACTGTGGGCAGCCTGTTGGATCTTTTGCGCAGAGGCGTCTTTGACAAGAAAGGCCGCTGCCACAAGATTTGCGTGCTAGGGGTCAAGGGCGACTGGCCCTACCTGGCCAAGGTGGGTCGCTTTCAGAGACATTTCTCGACTGGTGCAAAGAGAGGGGTGGAGCGGCATGCGCCCAAGGGCAAATGCCACCTTTGCCTAGCAGGCTGCCGTGGCTTCCCTTACGAGGACATGGTGAACCCGAGCGCAGCCTGGAGACAGACGATTGGCATCATGCCCCCCCTGGTCACAGCAACCCTGCTTTATGAAGCTGCCTCACAACCCGGCCCATGAGGCCAGCTTCTTTCAAGCTGATTTGTGGCACACTGTGCACTTGGGCATTGGCAAATCGTGGGTATGTTCCACACTTCTCCTTGCTGTGCACTTTGGCTTGGTGGCCGGAACCAACATGGATGCCAGGATGGAGACACTGACTCGGAGCTATCGAGCGTACTGCCGAAGTGCCCACCTGCAACCCATTGTGACCAAGCTCACAACCACTCTGCTCAGCTTCACAGACCCCAAGGGTCCTGTAGGGGCATGGCACAAGGGAGCTTTGACCTCTAACTTGCTCAAGTGGCTGGGCAATTGGCTCGCAGACCTTCGACCGGCGCATGGTGATCTTTTGTATCATGCCCTGCAGGGAACAAATCAGCTGAACAAGATGTTCAGCTATTTGTACCGAAGCCCCTTTTTTTTTGAGCAAGGAAGACTGTGAGTACGTTGTTTCATTGGGGCAAGGCTGGTTGCTTGAGTACCGCTGGCTGGCAAAGGAGAGTTATGACCGAAAGCTCAACCTTTGGCCGCTTTTTCCAAAACTTCATGGTATGGAGGAAATGATGCTGGCGCTTCACAAGACTTCTGTGAACTCCGGCATGGGGATCAATTGCTTGGCAGTGGCATGCCAGCAGGACGAAGATTGTATTGGAAAGACAGCGAGGCTTTCCCGAAGGGTAAGCGCCCGGAGAGTAGTAATTCGTTCTTTTGAGCGGTATTTAACTCAAGCTCGTGTAGCTTGGACACGTGCTGGCCTAATTAGGTAGCTTCATTTCCACTCACCTACCATGTTCTTGATAGTCTTTCCAGGGTGTGTTTTCCTTTTTGCTTGATTGAACTGTTTCATCTGGAAACCACCTAAGACGAGAGTTTATGTTGTTTCCAAAGGAACCGGGGTGAGTTTCTGCCGACGTGACAGCTGTCCTTGGAGAGCAAGAAGGCGGGCGGACACATGCTGCTTGGTTTGGGTTGGTCTGTGGGGCGTCCACTTCCATCTATTAGGGTTCTTATCAATCCATGAAATCCAAAAACCTGGTTTTTGTTGAAAAACCTGGTTTTTTTCTTCCGACCACGAAAATGCAGGAAGTGGAGGCTGCAGGTATATATAGAGAGAGATACATATTCATATTTATATACACGACTTGCATCAGAAGTTATGGTACTTTAAGCATGCTTTAAGTCTTAAGTATTTGCGCATGTAGTTTACAGTCAGAGCCTTTATCCCATACTTCCCGCCTTCGCCATCATGCGCAAAAGCTGTACGTTTCGCTTAAATGCAACCTCAGGGAGTTCTTGTATAGATGCCTTCTTGGGGTTCCAGAAGCAGCAAATGCAGCAGCTGAACATTGTGATAAGGTCACAATACCATGGTTTTGGGTGGAATTGTTCACATCCACTCTGTGTCCCGTCTTTTTGGGAGGTTGATGTCAGCTTTGAGGCAGGTAGGTCAACCGGTCGGTCTCCGTCCTCGTCCTGGTCCTTCGACCCAGAGATCCTAAGCCTGCTCCCTCGACCCAAGGACCTAATACCTTAGCGTTTCACCATCATTTCCAAGCGCTCCGTGAACAACAGCGCGGATCGTCATCCCAGGGAGGAAGAGACGAAATCGCAGCATGAACAGTTGCTGTTCAGCGACCATATGGATGTAGTTGTTCAAGAGGGAGACCTCCCAATTGTTGCATGTTTTTGCAACTTGTCTCATCCTGTGTTAGGATGACCTGGTTGGGTTTGGGTTTGTGTCCTTCTGGAGGATCTGGAGGTATCCTTCTTCCTGGAAAAATATCCTTAATACACCCAGATCCTGTGTCACGGCAAAGGACTGTATCACGGCCTAATACGGCCTATCTGCAGCTTGGAAGCGGTAAGAAGAACAACTGCGGAGTATCTCAATTCGAATGATTCCAGGGGCGTTCCTGTGCCATGTGCCACGTGCCACTCAAAAAAAAGCAGAAAGAACCGTCACCCCACTCCCAAGTCACCCGACCTCTCGTTTGGCTTTCAGCGTCCCCACCTGTCGAGAGCGGTCTGCGCTGGCTGCCATCCTCCAACAAAACACCAGGGGAGTTGAAAAGCACCTTTGAAAAATCCACCTTCCAGCGGAGTTTTGTAGTGAAGAATGAGTGTGCAACAAGACCGAGACACGTTTGGGCGACGTCTATGATTGGACGATGATCCTGCTTCGCGGAACATCTGAGAAACGGATGGTCCTGGATCGGAAAGGAAGCACGTGGACAAGATAGATCTTCAATGATCTTCAACCCGATAAAATGGTTTTCCCGAGGTGCCTGGGACCCACGGTCTTCGGTCTTTCCCCTTCTTGGGATCCGCGTTGGATGTTGGTGAGGAGGGGACGACCTTTTGCCGAGAAGTACGACTGGTATGCCTAGACACGTGATGAGACTGGCAAATTTGATACATTCACATTGTTGGATTTCAGGGCTTTAATGTCCACATGCCAAAAGGCAGTAGCCTATCACTCTACTGTATGGATGTTTCTCTACACTCCCCTTGGTCTTGGCGGGAGAAGGGTGGCAGAAAACCCCTCAATTCTTCCCAAACGAGGACCTCGTGACTCCGTGGAGAATCGGGGTCCTTCGCTCGCGGTACGTGTCGCTCGCGTTTTTGACGTCGCTCTAGACGGTCACGAGGTGGTCCGTGCACGTTCGCTCCCGCCTGTCCCGTTCTGGGCAGATCGGAAGGTTCCGTTCGTCGTGGTGATCCCATGTCCCATGTCTGTTTGTTCATTTGGGGGTTCCCAAAAAGCAAAATGCCAGGTGCACCACGCCGGCCGGAACTGCTACACTTTTTTGGTGTTTAAGGGGATACGCTGCAATCGGTCTTACTGCATGGGGGGGGAGCTCAAGACATGTTAAGTTAGTGACAGTCAGTCAGTCAGTCAGTCAGTCAGTCAGTCAGTCAGCACAGAACTGGGATGACGTGGCCCTTTGTTCAATAGATTGAGCTTGGTTTGTGGGTGGAGCTTTGGAGCTGTGGATGGTGAGCTCTTTGGATCAAGTCGGCTTGGGAAGATGCTCATTTGTGGTCTCTGCTTGTGCCCCCCTTTCAGAAGGACATGAAGGTGTAGGGATCAACAGAGATCCCAATGTGTTGCTTACATTCATAACATATATATATATATATTATATAAGTAATAATAGTAATAAGTATATGTATTATACTCTGTATGTGTAATTGTTTGGCCTTGGGGGGGGCTGCAGTTGTCAAAACAAGATGCAGACCAGACAGTGCGCCCTTTACCATGTCTTCCTGCTTGAAGAAAGAGCAATCCCAAACATATGGTGTTTTAGCGGTCTTAGTTTTACTCATCATCATTATCATAGTTGTTTGGATCTATATACTGTTTACTCCGTATCAGTCTCATCCTTCTTTCTTCTCATCCATCATCATCCATTTGCATCCATCGGCCCCCTTTTTCTTTCTCCTCATGCATCTGATGATGTGTAAAAAACCCGTTAAAAAAAGACACATCATATTTCACCACCAAGATCTTGTGCAACTGCCTGGTCCCGCTACGAGTTCGACACAGGGAGGTCAACTGACCATGGCTCGGTCCCAGAGCCCACCAACTTCATCGTTGCGAGCTCCATCCCCGATTCTCAAAGCGGCCTCCAACCTACTAGCGATGGCCTCCAACCTACGTCCCAGAGCCCACCGACTTCAGAAATATACGACGACAGCTGTGCTGCTCATTCAAGTTTGACCACGACTGGAATCTTACACTTCCAGTAATCTGAGGAGCGAAGAAGGAGTAGGTAATTCCCTGAAGAGTAGGCATAGACATATCTGTCTACTGTTTCCCTCAATAAGCATAGACTCATAGACTATCATAAAATATCATAAACTTAAGCTTACTCGATTTTTACAGGTACAATCTTCGCAAGGCTTAGCTAAGAGGAAACTGGTATCAGAAAGGCGTATTCTTTGGATTCAACGCTTTGGAATTGGATATACGTTGACCCCGCTAGATGTTCTTGGCGGAGTTTTTCGCAAATTTTGCTACATGAATAATTTCAGCTAGTATCACGGACACTATCTCCTGGTTTCTCCTGGTCCCCTATGGCATCCTATGGGATAATGGGATGCATCCTATGGGATAATGGGATGCATCAAGTCACGGTTTGTGAAGATCAAACCCCGTTGAGGCGGAACGATGGCCGACCCTTCACAAATCTGGTCTCCCCTTTTGTTGGTGACGATGTTTCTCGCCACCACCGCAGTGCTGCCACCCAGACAGTGAGATTCGTCTTGCGACAGTCTTGCGATCAATACACCACCGGAGCATTTATCAAGTGCACCTTTGTGCTCCGTACGGAATCAGCAAGCATGCTTTCCAGCGATGAAGAGAGGGTTCGAGTCCAGAAGGAGTTGCTGCTTGAAGATGCTTTGCTCCCCCCTTGGTTCGATTCCCGTGCTTAAGCAGGTGGGAAAACACAGAACAGATGGTGGATCAGATAGTGACTAAGCCACTATTGACAGTGAACACATAGGGAGCCTTCGCATTGTCTTTCACATGAAGCGGGGAACCCGCTCGCTCGTCGACCAGCTCGCTTCGATCGTCCGTCCTGTGCCATCAAAGCGAACGATAGGGATCCGATGGTGCTCAGACCAAGTGACTCGGTGCCCCAAGCGCTTTTCAGTTGACGTGGAGCTACCAGCTACGCTAGGCCCAAGAAGATGTGATTCGGAACCAACAGAGAAAGCGGCGCCGAAAAAACATATCCGTTTAGAACAAGTGAGGAACCAGTTCTTCCGCTACTCCAAAGGCATGTTCAGAATTCCACTCACCATGGTTTCTCACGGCGGCGGTTTCGCAAGAGGGTTTTTCAACGATGTGTTCTTCACGACCCAAAACCGGCATTCCACGATGTGCGGCTGGCATTCAAAGCGATGGAAACGGCGTTGAACGGCTCCCATTCAGGTGCTTGGCAGCGTCAAAGTCAGATGGTCCATTTATAAAGACCTCGCAGCCTTGTGGATGGGTTTTCCTAGAACACATCAAGCTTAAGAAAATGCTATAAGGGAAGATTGGGGGGGCCAGATTAGAGATGAAATACACTATGGATCGTTGTTGGCTCGTAGACATGTGAAGGTTGCTGAAGATACTCTTCACTTGGAAGGGTGCATGCTCATTCGCCCTCAGACGTTCTTGTCTCTCCTGCGACCTGCCAGAAAGGGTGAAGCGCGGCCTGGGGGTGATGTCCTGCTGACGTTACGGAGAGTGCTAAGATCTCAGCTGTCCCTCGCACCAAAGGCTCGTAGGACAGCATCGGTTCTCAAACCCTCTGGACCAGCTCATGAGGGTTGGGGAACTGGTTCTTTCCCTTGCAGTGCGGGAGAGAGACGACAGAGAGTGGAGGTGACGGTGGGGGGCAGGCTGGGTGGTTCTAGTTCAAGTCCGCCAAGAGGAATTATCAACTCGTA